TATTTTTATATATAAAACAAGTTTATTTAGAGCATTAAAGTAGAATTAAATAGTAAAATTTTGTGGATTGTAATATTTTACATAATTTTATTAATAAAATTCTGTAAAATATTACAATACACAAAATTTACTATCTAATTCTACCTTAATGCTCTAAGTAAACTTGTTCTACATATAAAGATACATTATATAGATATATGTTTACTTTATAGTTGTAATGTTTAAGAGAAAAGATGCTTAGTTTTGAAATTTTGATCAAAATTTCAAAATTAAGCATCTTTTCTCTTAAAATTCAAAATTATAAAGTAAACGTATACCAATATGGTGTATTTTTGTGCATAGAACATGTTTACTTAGAGCATAAAGATACAATTTTGTGAATTTTAATATTTTTTATAATTTTATTAATAAAATTATAAAAAATATTGTGATTTTTAAATCTTTACTTAGTAATCTCTTTTTTGTTTTCTAAGTAAAGTTGTAGAATAGAGTTTTGCAATCAAAATGTTAGTTAAAACATTAAAATTAGCTCATTAGATCATGAGATATAAGCATTTTAGTCTTCACAACTATATGCTTTCTTTTTTATTTATATAAAGAAGAAAATATATAATTGCGAAGACAAAAATACTTATATCTTATGACATACTAGGCTGATTTTAAAATTTTAACTGCCATTTTAATTACAAGATACTCCTCTACAACCTTTATTAGAAGTTGAAAAGGGTTTACTTAATAAAAAAATTTTAATTAATAAACTCCAAATTTGAAAATTTTACTATGTTTTGTTATCAAAAATTTTAAATAAATATAAATTTTGATTGGCTAATAGGGGTGTTAGGTGTGGGTGGGTAGGGGTAGCCTATTAGTAAAAATAAATCAGCTGATTTCTGGAAGCTCCCTAATGTAGGTTGTTGTTATCAATATGGAACTAAGGTTTCAATGTTCACGTTGAAAAATATAGTATCTTTGAACAATCATGGAAATGGTATTGAAAAGGATAAACATAAAGTGATCATTCATTATCAAAAATCTGAAGATATAGGTGAAGTTGGCAGAACTAATGATGAAGATCATTGTCATCATTATGGAATTGGAGCCAAAACGAATAAACATAAAATCTTTATTAATTATCAAGAGATAAGATCTGTCAAAATCAGTGATTGTTATCTTCGAAACAATGATAAGGACTGTTGTAAAGCAGTTGATTACTACCAAAATCCTGCCAATGTAAATAAAGCTATTGGAACATGTATTGAAAATTGGCATCATTATGGAATCGGTGTAGAAAAAGATGAAAGCAAGGAACTTGCCTAATGTCTAAATTCCAATAAAAATAAAGATTTAAATGAACAGAATAATCTTGAAATCAGCTGGAGAGTATAAGTTAGAAGGATGAAATAAGTCTGAAGTATGTTGTGATGAAAGCGTCAGTAGCCCTAAATATTGAAGAAATTTAGTTGAGTGGCATTGGAACCTGCTGATTTCGGGGAAGCTAGCTCAAATAGAAGAGCTGAGATTTATTTGAATGTCAAGGATAATAACAGATCAACATTCGAAAAACAGTTAGAAGGAAAGAAAGAGCAAATGAGGAAAAGTAGAGACGGTGATAAAGAGGAAAATAATGGGATCGTGAAGCAAAAGATAAGAAATAGGATGTTATCAACAATCAACTACAGTATGCAAAATCAAAGCATAAAATTGGGGTATTTGAAAACTTATATGAATTGAAAGTCAGGGCTAATCTTGTTGAGTAGTAGAGAAAAGATCAACTTTATAAAACAATTATATCTGGATCATATGATCAGTTGCATTGGAGTGGAGAGTATAGTGTTTGAAAGTCATATCGATACAAGAAAGCTAGGACGAATGAATATGAGGTTGTTGTGAGATATGAATGATGAAAATGCAATAGAAACAAAAAAAAAAAAAACTTAAGAGGTTTGAAGTGCTTGGTACATGTTGTACACATAATATATATGCTAGTCGATATAATTGACCGAACTTATACAACAATCGGTAATAAAGATACCAAAGTAAGTACTAGTTACCGGAGGAAAAGGGCATACGCTCCGAAAGTATGAACCAAAGAGAAGGGCGTCCTTCAGGCACCTAAAGCCTGGGCA